GGCGAGCGGGGGGTGGCTGCCGCCGCTCCCTGATGGACGGGCGCGCAGCGTGCTCTGGTGAGCTGAGCGAGCTGAGCTCCTCCTGCCACGGTCCTGTTCCCTGGGGCTTGAGTGTGACAGTAAATCTTCCATTTTATTGACTGGTAACTTGTTCTCAGAGCGAGCGAGAGAAGCAGGAGCAAACTGAGGTCCAGAAGGAGAAGCAGAGAGAGCTGATCCTGCAGCTGAAGACGCAGCTTGATGACCTGGAGACGTTTGCTTACCAGGAGGGCAGCTATGATTCTCTGCCGCAGTCTGTGGTTATGGAAAGACAACGGGTAAGGCTTGAAAAGTCCATCTGCCTGTATGACTTCTTAGCATTTGCGAGCCTCTTACAGGCCGTAGGGGTTGGTCAGTCCTTATTTCTCACCAGCAGCTGTATTAAAGTATCAGTGGTTCGTCTGTGTGTGTAAACCTGTCCCGTGCTTTCTCTTGCAATTCTCTATGTGCAGCGAGGGTGGCCTGGTTCCAAGGTAATGGGTGGGTAAAGGAGTGTTTTGAAGCTCATGGGCAGCAGCGCTGCACAGCGAGATCATGCCACTAAATGGTGTTTTGCAGATGATTATAAATGAGTTGATAAAGAAGCTGGACATGGACTTGAGTGAAGATATTGCCACGCTCTCTCCAGAGGAATTACGACAGCGTATGGATGCTGCCATAGCACAGATTGTTAATCCAGCCAGGGTGAAGGAGCAGCTGGTGGAACAGCTGAAGACCCAGATAAGGGACCTCGAAATGTTCATCAACTTCATTCAGGGTCAGTGCTGAGTTTTCGGGTGAGCAGACTGAATTGCTGTGTAATTCCCTGACAGAGTTATGAGGAGGGAGGTCACAAATGTCAGAGGATGCAGGAAGGGTTTCTGGGTCAGGGGGAAGCGCAGATCTCTCTGAACTGGTGGTAGGGAGAACTGGAGAAAAAGATGCAGAGAGGTCTAAGGAATATTGACTTTGATACTTGAGATACGCAGCTTAAATTTGTAAGTGTGAAATAATAGTGTGAAATTCTTGTTCTAGATGAAGTTGGAAGCTCTGGTAAGGCAGAAGATGGACACTGTGATTGCGCGGGCAGGAAAGATGGTGGTGGCTCCTACAAACCAAAGACGCGGCATTCTGGAAATAGAGGTGGGCACTGCTTGGCGCGGAGCTTCCGGCACTGCTGCCGTCACTTGTTTGAGCTTCAGCAAGCACAAACCAGCATCCAGTCACGCTAGGCTGCTTTGCATTTTTCCTGGCATTTGGCTTCTGTTCTTTCCTACTCCCGCTGGCAGAAGGCCTGCGTCCGGTTCTTTTACCCTTCCTCCGTGGGCTCGTTAAGAGTAGTCATAGAATCTGAACGTGTGGCACAGAGGGTGGGGTTGATCCTGCAGCTGAGATCAGGAATAGAAGGAACTTCTGATGCTTGGTGCGAAATGCAGACAGACTGAGCAGCCTTGTCTTGTGTGCGCTGCTGGGCTGCGCTGTCATTAATGCTAATTGAGCTCTTAGCTCTGTGCGCAGATACAGTGAGCTGGGTGGATTCGGAGTTCTTTATGATGTGAGACCTATTTATTTATCCCAGGAATTTATTGGAGCTAGAACAGTGTGCTAGAGGAAATACCACAATCCTTTCTGTAATCTGAGGCAACTGCTGCTAGTCAGAGGTAGAATACTGGCCCGGGTGGACTTTGGGTCTTACCCAGTGTGGCTGCTCTTGCCAATGGAGTTTCACAATGGCATGCGGAGCGAGCAGCGTGTGTTACCCTGCTGAGACAAGGTGCTTCTCGAAAGCAGGCAGTGATGTCACTCAGCAGAGGTTTTGGTGTCTCCTAATTACCCATGCGATACCATCGTGTCTAAAGGATGATCTTTCTTCGCTATGTGTGTGCCCACTAGCGATGCTGTTGTAGGATTTCTTCTCTGCAAGATGACCTGATTGTCAAGAACAGGCCATGTTTGCTTTTTTGGTTGGCTTAGTGCTTTGGAACTAGAAAAAGTAGCATCAGTCCTAGTGGTGAAAGCTCCTGAGGAGGAGGAGAATCCATGGTGGAGGAGGAGCAGACATTTGTGCTCCCTTTGTGTGCATGAAGGAGCAGAGCTGTTGATTCCTTAATCAAAGTGGTTTTTTTCCTCTTTTCTAACCTAATCAGTGAACCCAGAAGATGCCAGGAAGATGCGAGAAACGGGCCTGCACCTCATGCGTCGCATGCTTGCAGTGCTACAAATATTTGCTGTCAGTCAGTTTGGTTGTGCTGCTGGTCAGATTCCTCGCACCCTCTGGCAGAAGGACCAAGCCAGCAAGGACTATTCCCCCTTAGTTAAGAAGCTGGAGTTGTCCGTGGAGCGGGTGAGGCAGCTGGCTGTGAAGCACCAGCAGGAAGACCACGTCATCAGTTCCTCTGATCTGCAGGACATTCCCTTGGGAGGCAGAGATGAGCTGACTCAGGCTGTGCGGAAGGAGTTGACCGTTGCTCTGCGAGACCTGATGGCTCACGGGCTCTGTGCCTCTTCTCAAGGAATGAGCCTGGTGCTGGCACCCATCGCGTGCTTGATTCCTGCATTCACCTCATCCCCGCAGACCATGCACCCCTGGGAACTCTTCGTGAAGTATTACAACACTAAGAACGGGCAAGCCTTTGTGGAGTCCCCGGCTCGCAAGCTCTCCCAGTCCTTTGCCTTGCCTGTGACAGGAGGGGCGGCCGTTACCCCCAAACAGAGCCTGCTGACAGCGATTCACACTGTCCTCACGGAGCACGACCCCTTCAAGCGCAGCGCAGACTCCGAACTGAAAGCTCTGGTGTGTATGGCCCTGAACGAGCAGCGCCTGGTCTCCTGGGTGAATCTCATCTGCAAATCTGGAGCTCTGGTGCAGTCCCACTACCAGCCGTGGAGCTACATGGCGAACACGGGCTTTGAGAGCGCGCTCAACCTTCTCAGTCGCCTGAGCAACTTGAAATTCAACCTCCCGGTTGACCTGGCTGTGCGGCAGCTGAAAAACATCAAAGATGCTTTTTGATGTTATTTTTGTTGTAGATCATCCATTTTCCGCAAGCAGGCAGCTGTTGGGCTCCAGAAGCCTGGCTGCTTTTAAAAGACCGAGTTTGGCTCTTTGATGTTTGCTTTTGGGGAAATCTCACGGTGCCTCGGTGCTGGCAACGCGTGTTTCACAAGGCTGCCGCCGTGAAGCTG